CTCTCTCTTTCTCTCCCCTGTGACAAATGCTCTCACCAAAAAACCACCCACACACACACACGATTGTCTGTCTCGCTCTCTCCTACGACAATCTGGTTAACCTCACCACTGGCGATGACCACTCACCCAAGTAAGCCCCTCTCTCTCTCTCTCACGACACACATTTGAACCCATACACACAGAAAATTACCTATACACACACAACCAATCTTTATGCTCCCTCTCGCTTTCTGTAAACTCTCTTTGCCGCTCCTTGATGTAATAGTACCAGTGGACAAGATCCAAGGTTCAACCAGCCTCCCTCCATAGGGATTCAATTCAAACATGGATATAAGGATTCCTAAATGTTGTGTTATTAGACTGCATTTTTCTCTTTCAAAGAGAGAAAAATGAAAGTTGTTGTTTTTATTCATTTTTTTTTCAACTCACATTTTCTTTATTGAGTAATGTGTTATTTTTTTAGCGAGTTAAAATTTTAGAAATTGAGTTTATATTTATGCAGTATTATTAATTTGAATAGTGATAATGGCGATAAATTATATGTGATATTGTTTTGAGGCATTTGTATATGATGTGTTATTTTTGTAATTTTTTTATACATTTTTATGATAATTCCATTAATATAGAGGATACGATCAATAATATATTTTAAGTTATTTTAAAAGAAAAATTAGTATGAATGTTTTTTAGCAATTTTTTTTAAATCTAGGCAATTGGTTATAATTTTTTTTTGTTACATAATGCCTTCAGGCACGGGCAATTGATTAATCATTTAATATTACGACATAATTACACTAATTATATACATCAAATTTGGTGTAATGATAAATTATTTTTTGTAATCATAAACCCAATTTGATATATATAATTAGTGTAACTATGTTATGATACTAAATAGTGTAACTCTTTGATTTATGCAAATGACTGAACAACAAATTAGAATGGTGTTTTAATTTTGTGTAATTTGATTGGTGTAACTGTTTAATTTATTAAAACGCATGAGTAACTATTTTGTGTATTATAGGACAATTATAAATTATTGGTATAATTGTACTGTTGCAACGTTGATATAAAACAAGTTAATAAGGAAAGAGTATAGTGAAAGAAAATAGAGAGAGACAGGTAGAGATCGGCTTTGATTAGAAGATGGTCAGGGTGTAAGGGGTCTTTGATTTTTTCACGGAGTTCTGCACTCCTTTTGTGTAAATAGCAATCACATTGGTCACACCAGTACACAACATCTGAGATCGGCTTTCTACACATGTAGCAGAGAATAAGCAAGTCCACCTCGCGCACTTCCGTGAGGATCAATGGGTGTACATGGCTAAAATGTTGAAGCTTCTCCGTCTTTGGAAGTATGAGAGAAAGAGAGAGAGAGAGGTGCAGAAGAGGAGGAGATGCAATGATTGGACTCCGAATGCAAAACCGCTCTTCGACTTTCTATTTAATCATGTGCCACCCTGCCTTTTCAGAATTTAAGAAATTAGATTAAGTACTTGCACCCCCCAACATAAGTTACATGGATCCTCATCCACCACCTCTTGATTGCATCATTGTTTGTCAATAACATTCCCAGATCAATTGCAATGCAAGGCTAGTAATTGACAAATTTCTTTAAAAAAAAAAAGGAAAAGCTAAATGTTACATATGTTTGGTTTTTAGAAAAGAGTATTCTTTCTCAATTGTTTATCAATAAATAAAGAGACTTAGAGCCATCACGTACTAGCCTAATGACCAAAGTCTCACCTCCAATCTACAATGTCTAAGATCTAAACCTCGTTTTTGAAGCCATATGTTTCTATATTGTAAAAAAAAAATAGATTAGTAATTTTCACGAGGTATAATACTTAAATTCTATTTCCCAGATTGGCCAGAGCTGGTCTAATAGTGAAACTAACACAACAAAGTGTCCTATGTTTTGCAAGTCTATAATATGATCCAAACCAAAGATTAAACCCATAAAAGTTTAAACCAACAAAAATATTTGGCACGAGACGATTTAAACAGTATAAAAACAAGACATGATCTGACCCAATCTGATCCATTAACAACTCTAATCTAGTCACACCCATGCATCTACATAATGTCTGAACAAAGAATTTCCTTTAATTCAAGCCAATAAGGCATCTAGAGAAGTGTCCCACCCAAGAAATTTAAAAAGAAAAGAAAAGTTATACTCTAGTGGATTCAGATGTTCATTGTCCTCTTCACTTCTCTCACCTCTGTCTCTCTTTTCATTCAACTCTTGACTGAAATACAACAAAACAAAGGCCTAAAGCCTGCACAATAGAAAAGAGAAAAGAAAAAAAATGTATAGCATCCCTCTTTAGACGGTTCTGTGCATGCGTGTATGAGTGACAGTGTGGATATATACTCTTAGAATCTCCCTTGAAATAGGTTTCTTCTGTTGGCTTTTGTAAAGCCTCTTACCTTATATTAAACTCGGATAGTTGTCAAAAAATTCAAATTTTTTTTCCTGATACATAAATCACTAATTTACTCTAATTAGCCAAAATATGTGTTTGGCTTTCCAACATCTGATTTAAAGCTACGATACTGAGTGAAAGGATTGTGTGTGTGTGTGAGAGAGAGAGAGAGAGAGAGAGAGAATATTTGCAACAATGGAATTTGTAAGCATATGGCAGTATACATGTCTCATGGATTAGGCTCTCTCTCTGTTCAACTCTTGACTGCAATGCAAAAAAAGAAAAAAGAAAAATAATGCAAAGCATCATTCTTTAGACCCTTCAATGTATGCGTGTGTGAGTGGGTGTATGGATATATACTCTTAGAATCTCCCATGGACTAGTTTTTTTTTTGAACAACTATCATTTGACTTTTATAAAATCTCAAACCTTATAATAAAGTTGAATAGTTGTCGAGAATTCAATTTTTTTTATGATATCTAAATCACTAGTTCATCCTTATTAGCCTAAATTTGTGTTCGGCTTTCCAAAATTTGATTTAAAGCTATAATCATGAGTAAAAAGATTTGAGAGAAATAAAGAATATCTACAGAAATAGAATTTGTAACCATATGTGTACACATTTCTCATGGATTAGGCTCTCTATTTATAGGTAAATTAAGCTTAAAATTAAATTTCAATAATACAACTCGAAAATAAATAGGCTCATTAAATTAATAACCGCAAAAATGATTGAGTTTTAAAAACCCTACTTTATAAGTTCTATGGTTTGAGACCATCTCCAATCTAGACCAAAATTTTTACTCAAATTTAAGTTAACATTTGAGTAAAAAATTTATTTGATATAAAACATTCTAATAGACAAACTCAAATTTAAAATAGAACAAATTCAAATTTAAAACTAGACAAATTCAAATTTAAATGAATGTAAAATATTACCATTGATCTTTAAAATAAAAAAGTGAATACTGAATATTGAAAATATGAATACAGATTTAAATCTCACTTGGTTTGAGTAAAATTTTAAATGTTCCTTGTGTAAAAAGATTGAAAGTTGTTTTTAACATGTTTTTACTCAAATTTAAGTTTAAGTAAAGATTTTGATAAAACCATCAACACTAGCATCAACATCTCGGTCACCCCGACCTTCAAAAAGTCCATGGTCAGATGCTCTTTGGAACCATATTCTTTCTTGCAATACTTCCAAACAATAAACTCTCTCTTTCCTAGCTACAACAATCCCAAAGGTGACCAATTTTTAAACAGTAAAGAAAATTCCCTTGGCTACAATCAGCTTTTGAACCAAATAGCCCCAAAATCATTATATTAATCCAACCACTATCACCTGAGAGAGAAGATTCCCTTGCCCGCAATCAATACTAAAGTACTCAAGAGTGTGGGCTTGTGAGTTTAGGGTTGATAGTTGAACGATTTCAAATGAGTTCGAGTCGAGTTTAAATAATTTATTTTCTTGTTTGAATCTAAAAAATTATTCAAGTCCGGTTCATTAAGAAAACAAGTTGAGCTTGAACGAGCACAAAAAAAAATCGAATTCGAGTCAAGTTTGAGTATTTACTCATAAACAAACTGAGTCTATCGAGTTCAAGTGACAACGTGTCAAATCTAAACCGAGCTCGAGTAGCTCAGTTGATTAACACTCCTACTTTGTGATTGTGTAGGAGGTGTATATGCGTCTCCCCCCACCGTTTCTGATAGCTACCATTAAAGGAAGCAAAGATGCGGCTTAAAACACCCCATAGATATGCAAAACAGAGCAAAGGGCGACAAAATACTAAATGAACTATATAGGAGATTTTAACGATCAAATAGGAAAGATCAACGAGATAATGAGATTAAGTCCATGCTGAACATAGATTTGGAGATAAGAATCAAATTAAAGAATGTGCATTTCGCTCTAATACATGATCCCACACTAGCAAACACTAATTGCGTGGAATTTATTAGGACACTTTGGATAAATTACATTTACACCCTCTGAGTTATCAACCTTTTTTCACTTTGTCCCCTCAACTATCAGATTTTTCACATTGTACCATCAACTAACACTATTGTTTTTTTTTTTATCCAAATAACACTGTTGTTTCACATTACTCCAATTGCAAACTTCAATTATCTTTTTGGATGAAAATTGTTGACATATTGGAGTAAAGTGAAAAAAATTACATAGTTTGGGGAAAAAAATGAAATAACTTTTTGTTAAATATGTAACGGACGTTAATAAGTGAGACAATGTAAAACTAATGACATAGTTGAGGCTAAAATGTGAGAAATATGGTAGTTGAGGGGGCAAAGTGAAAAAGGTATAATAGTTCAAGGGGTAATAGTGTAATTAACAACAAAAGCTTGGCCTGTGACGGTGCTGATATATTTATTTATCGGTGGCATATTGATATCTTTATGGATTATCTCCACAGCATTCTTATACACATCACATCAATTTTCCATAAATTAACACTGAATTCCAACAAAAAAGAATAAAATCCACTACTAATAATTTGACTTCAATTTGTAATGAGACTAATTTCTAATCCCCAGACCCCGCAATAATAGATGCGAGAGTCTCGTGCACCGAGTATGCCACTAGTTACTAATACAATACTACTTCTTTTTCTCCCTCTCTATGCCCATGGACTAAGTGAAGCCATCACTTTGCTTTTGCTCCCACGAAACAAGTTTAAAAATAAATTAATCATGCTTGTTGTGATACAAAGAGTTTAATTAATAATGTTAAATATCCATGGAAAAGCGAATAAGTCCCGCTTGCACCTCCAACTTTCTGATGAAATCTAAAATAATTACCAAGAAAAAGGAAAAGAAATAATTTATTTGATTTCCACGCAACATGATACTATTTACGCCATGGATTCAAGTGACAAAATCATTATCTCCTAAATGAGGATAAAGTTATGTCTCACTTACCTTTTCTAAACCCCGCTCCGCGTGCTCCTCCGAAAGGGCATTGTGGCGAATGACATTGCTTCATCAAGCTTTGGCTGCTCCACCTGTTTCTCTTGTAGTGCGGATATCTTGCAACACAATTCCTTGACAAGGAAAGCTTTCACTGCACTCAGAAACACTCGTTCTTTATTGTTCTGGTAGACAACCATTTTGACTTGAACAGTTGAGCTGTGTGACAGATTAAGAAAATAGATTAGTTTACATCCTAGTCTCAAAAGGAAATTGAAGAGATGGGCCTCATTTCTCTCCATTGCAAGGGGTAGCGACTTTATTCTGTACGTCCAAGAAACGCTTAAGTAAGCCAATTCTGATAACATGCTATAAGGAATGGAGTCTATGTAACTCAACTTGTGAAACATGCAGTCGAGAAAATAAGAAGAGCATACGAATACAGTCCAACAACAATTTCCAACATTGTTTTTCTCTTGGGATCTACTAACTTGAAGAGGGAAATATCAAAACATACATAGGTTGTATTTCTGGCTGTTTGTTTGTTTGAAATTCAGCAAAGTTCATTAGAAAAAAATGACATAGCAGGAAAATGGCATATTGTGTTGCATTCTGGATACCATTTTCCAGTCACACGAATGGATATATTACTGTAGAAGATCTATCATTTTGGATAGTAAAAAATTGTGATAGATCTAAAATATCTCTCCTGCTCCTACAGATTCTCTTCCACCTTCTTTTTCATAAATAGTTCTAACTACAAGAATTATGTCCCAGCAATGTAGTTAATTTTCTCTGTCCAAAATGTCCCTCCTCTAATTCTTCTTTCTTTTTTTTTTTTTACCACGTGACCAAATTTTGCATTGTTGTCTTTTTCTCCTACATCAGCTATTACAGTAAAAAGTACTAGTACCTATTTTCCACATTCTTGACACCATTCCATCTCTCTGTCTCTCCCCCGCTCTCTTTCCCGCATTCTGTCTGCACTACATGCACGGATGCATCCAAACACAAGTTTGGTACTAACTCAACACACAGCTAATTAACTTGAAGAAATTTGACGTTATTACGGTATTTGAGTCGTTTAAACAAAGTTCTTTGGATTTCTTATTCCTTTTGACATGGAAGATTTGTGTGTGCCAACTGAGCTTATACCATGTCATTGAGTGGTGTGGTAATCTTGATAACTTTGTATCTACTTCAGATTTCAAATAATATAGAGTTTAAAATCCAAAGAACAGAATCTACAACCCTATGACTGTTTTCTAAACAAAAATAAATTAGTTCTGAGAGACAAGTGATTACTGTCTAATAATTGTAGACATTCATGTTTGAAAAAATGGATAGATATTTTAAGAATGAACTGAAAAATGAAGTGAAATAATATTTCAATAAAAACACTCCTTAGTGGAATCTTGAAGCCTTTGCATCCAAAATATCATAACCCTTCTATAATGACTTAAAAAGGGCCAAAATTGAAATTTAATTGACAAACAAATCAAAATATGCGGGATACGACCTCAGCTGAGTGTTTTTTTATAGAATATCAGTCATCAACTGATCTTCATACTTGTTATTTCAGATTCCTGTTTGAGTAGTATAACATATATCTTCAAGGAGATTTGGATTGACTACACAAAATTAAAAATCTCTGCCAAGATTCATCACATGTCAACATTAAACATAAACCCCTCTGCTAAGATTCATCACATGTCAACATTGTACATAAACCCCTGTCATCAATGAGCATAAATTAAATAAGAAAAGCATGTAAATTGGGAAAGCTTAGCATATTTGACGAAAAAGTATCACTTAGCAGTTTAAAGAACCAAATTAAACAAACAGCAGGCATAGAAAGGATCAAAATAAACCCCCAAATGCATAATTATAACAATATCCCTAAGAGGATTCCAGAAAAGATAAATCCCAAATGCATAATCAGAACATAAAACTTCATAACCATATCAGAAACTATAATCAGGGTTTTGAAATTCAATATAGCCTTTCAATCCATCAATTTGGGCACAAATTAGGGTTAGGGTTTTGTATCATATAAACAAATAATAGGAAACCTTGATCCAATTACAGTTTCTGGGAGAACCAAGTTACCAACTCAGAGCATCGCCAGATTCTGAAGAGTAGAGTCGTTTCCCGTGTAATCGCCAATCACTTCTGTTTCCTTCTCAGACATAGACACATGAAGATCTGATCATTGGTTGTCACTGTTTCCATGCCACCAAAAGAGAATCACAATCCTAACAAAATTGCCCTTTACTCTATCTTTCCTTCAATCCTAGGGTTGAAGACATAGAAAATGGGTGTTTGTGTGCGTTCATTTTCGCGATTTGTGTGTTTTTGTGAATACGTTTGGTGCGAAGAGAAATAGACAAAAGAAGTTAGTTTGAGTATTGAGAGCACCAATAGAGTAGGACGAATTTATCAAAATTGTAATTCCCCTCCAATAAAACATCGATAAACACAGACCCATCATAAATTCTATGCAAAAGAAGAGAACGAAAGAGATCGCTTGAAAAATATTTTGTCTTTTCACAAAGATTATACAACTAGGTACACAATGGTATAGTGAGTATAGAACAAACTATTTTTTCACTATCAAGAACGGTTAATTGGTTTCAAACTTGTTTCCTATCTATATAATAAAGTAACTTACAATTCAAATCTCAAAAGATAAACAAAATAATTTTTGCTATTCGAGATTGAGATCGCTTTAAATTTTACTTTAAAATTAATTTAAAGACTAATATTAACACCCTAAATTTAATTGAAAAAATAGCCCCTAATGGCGTATTTGGAGTGATTTTTTAAAAGTACTTTTAAAAATTATTTCTCACAAATATTTTTTTTTTAAAAATAATATTTAAACTGTTTCACCAATACCTTCACCA